AAGGGACAGTGATCTGAGGTGGGCAAGGGGTGGAGATGGAGCAAGGTGGGTTAGGGGGTGGAGTCAAGGGACGTTGCTCGAAGGTGGGTAGAGGGCGGAGACAAGCAATGGTGCTCAGAGGTGGGTAGGGAGTGTAGACAAGGGACAGTGGTCAGAAGTGGGTAGGGGGTGGAGATGAGGGACAGTGCTCGAAGGTGGGTAGGGGGTGGAGTCAAGGATATTGCTCGGAGGAGTGTAAGGGGGAGACGAGGGACAGTGGTCGGAGCTGGGTAGGGGGTGGAGAGCAGGGACATTGCTTGGAGGTGGGTGGAGACAAGGGACAGTGGTCGGAGGTGGGTAGGGGGTGGAGATGAGGGACGGTGCTCGAAGGTGGTTAGGGGTGGAGACAAGAAATGGTGCTCGGAGGTGGGTAGGGGATGGAGTCAAGGGACGTTGCTTGGAGGTGTGTAAGGGGGAGACGAGGGACAGTGGTCAGAGTTAGGTAGGGAGTGGAGAGCAGGGACATTGCTTGGAGGTGGGTGGAGACAAGGGACAGTGGTCGGAAGTGGGTAGAGATGAGGGACAGTGCTGGAAGGTGGGTAGAGGGTGGAGATTAGGGGCAGTGGTCGAAGGTGGGTAGGGGGTGGAGCCAAGGATGTTGCTCGGAGGTGGAGATTAGGGACAGTGGCTGAAGGTGGGTAGGGAGGTGAGTCAAGGGACATTGCTCGGAGGTGGGTAGGGGGTGGAGACAAGGGATGGTGCTCAGGGGTGGGTAGGGGGAGGAGTCAAGGGACATTGCTCAGAGGTAGGTAGGGGGTGGAGATTAGGGGCAGTGTTTGCAGGTGGGTAGGGGGTGGAGTCAAGGGACATTGCTCGGAGGTGGGTAGGGGGTGGAGACAAGGGACAGTGCTCAGAAGTGGAGACAAGGGACAGTGCAGAGGTGGGTAGGGGGTGGAGACAAGGGACAGTGCAGAGGTGGGTAGGGGGTGGAGACAAGGGATAGTGCACAGGGGTGGGTAGGGGGTGGAGACAAGGGATAGTGCACAGGGGTGGGTAGGGGGTGGAGACAAGGGACAGTGCAGAGGTGGGTAGGGGGTGGAGACAAGGGACAGTGCAGAGGTGGGTAGGGGGTGGAGACAAGGGACAGTGCTCGGAGGTGGGTAAGGGGTGTGAGACAAGGGACAGTGCAGAGGTGGGTAGGGGGTGGAGACAAGGGATAGTGCACAGGGGTGGGTAGGTGGGTGGAGACAAGGGACAGTGCAGAGGTGGGTAGGGGGTGGAGACAAGGGATAGTGCACAGAGGTGGGTAGGGGGTGGAGACAAGGGACAATGCTCAGAGGGGGTGGGTAGGGGGCAGAGACAAGGGGTGACTCAGAAGTGGGGAGCTAATGCCCCCATTCTCTGAGAAAAGGCCCTGCTCAGTGCTGGCAGACCACTGCCTAAGTTAAGGCAAGATATAGAAGATCCCTGCAGCAGCCAGAGGTGGGGAGCCATCATTAGAGCAGCTTATTCGTAGTATTTGTGTCTATACATGAGGAGTACATTAAACAGTGCCTTCTGCTGAGTGCACAGGCCTAGTACAGCCACACCCTCCATCTGGTGCCTGGTGTTGGAGCATTTCCCTTTGTGTCTGCTCATACACCAGAAGTGTGATTTCACTGACAGCTCAGGCGTTTCCCCCACTTCCTGCCCTTCCTCAGGCTCCATTTATCTCTTACTGACACCATCTATACAGCTAGCACGTCTACAGAGGGGAGCCCTAGCCTCTCCACCATCCGGGAACCCCACTCCGCTTCACGGTACACCAGCTGAGCGCGCTCCCGACCTGCGCGGACACGACTACGCACGACTAGCGAAGCGCGCTCCCCTATCATTATTCTAACAAGCGCGCCCGCGCACTTCTGCACCGGCTTCGTCCAGTATATTATGCATAAAAAAGCGTCCATGCGCGTGCCCGTCTCTGCAGCTGCTCCCCTCTCTTGTGTTATTGTCTTGTCCCTATCCTCCTGACACCCCCTGGTGTTTTCCTGTCCTTTTCTCCCCTCCGTGTCATCCCTCCTTCATTGCCTGTCTGCTAATCCCCGTCTTAGTGTATTTGTAGCCTGTTCCTGTATACACGCCCCCTACCTTCTAATATACTGGACACCCCACCCACCACCTATAGTCTCATATACCAAAATAGAGACAAGTCTTTCTCTGGCTGCCCCCTGGAATTGCGCCCTGGGACTTTCTTTCTTTCCTCTTGTCATCATTGCTCCAGGCTGGATTGGCACTGCTCACCAGAGGTCTTCTCTTCATCTTCTACACTCTTCTAATTCCTGGATAAAGCTGTGCTCTTGGTCCTTCCGCTCTCTCAACTTCCCTTTTTGGTTTCTTTTGGGGTAATACATGTTTCTTTTCTTGTTATGGATTTTCTTTATCTCTCTGTCTTTCCAGAAACTGTTTTTCCTAATGTAATGTTCTATGGTGACTTCTTTTAGGTTGGAACTTGTGTTTCTTTAGTGTCCAGGTTGGCTTATGCTTTTCGTTGTCCACTAAAGATCTGTTTCGTAACAACATATACATAGATACATATACGTTCCTATTAGGTTGATGTGGTTAAGGCTGACGTTAGGTCTTCGTTTGCCCTTTACGTTGGAACTAATTCATTTGGGATTTTGTGTTCTGAAAAAGATACAATTGAATTACATTTATTCAGCCATTCTTATCCAGGCTTCCATGGAACTGTAGGGTTCCTCCAGGAGGTTCCTTGTGCTGTGGCTGATTGACCTCCCATCTGATGATGTTTGGATAGTTCCAGGACCAAAAACCACTTGGCAGAGTCGGTTGCATAACACCAATGATCTTTTTAGCTGTTTGTAGAGATGGCATTCTGACCACCACTTTAAAGGGCTTTTACACTTGCTTCAACTTTAACACACATTAAAGCATCTACAGCTTCAACATGCTTTTTTTTATGTGTTTTTGATGCTTCCATGATGCTTTCGTAGTGCTTAGATGATGCTTTGGTGATGCTTTTTTGAAGCTTTAATGAAGCTTGGCACATGCCCTATGTGTGTTAATTGTCTATTTGTTTTTAAAGGGGCCCAGTAGAACACCCACTCAGTAGTATCCCCACACAGCACATCCCCAGCTCATTACTAGCCTGTTCAGCAGATCCCAGCTCATTACTAGCCTTGTTCAGCAGATCACCAGCTCATTACTAGCCTTGTTCAGCAGATCCCCAGCTCATTGGTACCTCCCTTCTCAGATCCTCAGCTTGTTAGCTCTGCTGATGCCCCACTCAGTAGTACCCCCAGTTTTGCTGATCCCCCACTCAGTAGTAATCTCCAGCTCTGATGATCCCCTGCTCAGTAGTAACCTCCAGCTCTACTGATTCTCTGGTTTGCTGATCCTCCTCTCTCGATAGTCCCTGCTCACCTCCCCCTATCTTTCCCATGCTGTGCACCACCTGTGACATTGCTAGTTTCTCCTGCTTAGGTCTCCCAGCTCTGCTGATCCTCTGCTTCTCAGTCCTCTCTCTCCTAGATCCCCTCTCATTTTCTGCTATAGCACTTCCACGTTGCTCACAACGTGTGCCTCTGCTAGTTGCTCAGTTGCTCTGGTCCAGACCCCACTCACCTTCCTGCTGCTCCACGCTGCACACCAGCTGTACCATCTGCACCAGACACTTCCAGAATATATACACATGAACCAGCAGTGACTACTGATGACGTATTTATGGTTTACTTGTTGGTTTCCCAGTATATTCTGGGATATCTCATACCTGCAATATCTCCAAAACAAAGCAAAGCTAACTATAAATAAAAGCCCCTCAAAAGCTGCCAGTGCTGTAAGCGAGCTTTGTCATAGGCTTCTATGGAGGCTTTGGAGACACTTTGGAGTTCCAAAAAAGCAGTATGGGTTTAATTTTTGCGAAGCAAAGCAACATGTAAACAGGACTGTAAACTTACCATTTTGTTTAGTGACAGGTGCTTTGATTGGTATTCAGAGTGCTTTAAAATGCATGTCCAATGCCACATTTTGAAGCAAGTGTAAACGAGCTCTAAGGGAGCCATTCTTTCCACTGGATACAAATGTAAGGGGGTATTTGTTCTTCTGACCCCTGTTGATTTTCACAGACATTTTCCCCAAGCCTGATGTCAGGTGGTAGTTTGCCTTTATGTTGAATATTATTCATTAGTGATTATGTGTTTCTGAAAATGATAGCTTTTGATTCGATTTATTCTGCCATTCTCATACAGGGTTCCTCCAGAGGTTCCTAAAGGTTCACCAAGATGTGACTAATTGACCTCCCATCTGATGCTGCCTGGGTAGTTCCAGGACCATCACAACTTGACAGAGCCAGTTGCATGACACCAGCAATTTTTTTAGCTGTATGTAAGGGCCACATCCTGACCACCACTGTAAGGGGGAGGGGGAATCTTCCTACTGGATACCAATGTAAAGGGCATTTGTTCCTCTGCCCCCCAAAGAATTTTTTTTTTTCCCAAGGCTATCATGAAGTCTTAGTTTGCTTTTATGTTGGAAATGATTTATTTTTGCTAATGTTTTTATGAAAATTTCATAAATTTAGTTACATTTATTCAGCCATTCTCAACCAGGGTTCCATGGAATCATAAGGTTCCTCCAGAGGTTGCAAGGGTTTCCTGGAGTGGTGACTGATTGATCTCCTATGAGATGGTGCCTAGATAGCTCTAGGATCTAACTCACCTTGGCAGAACCAATTGTATGATATCAGTGATCTTTTTAGGTGTCTGTAAGGGTGGCAATCTGACCATCACTGTAAGAGGGGCATTGTTCTAAATGGCCACAAATGTAATTGGCACTTTTCTTCTGACCCTCAATGAATTGGTTTTAGCAGGAGTTTCTCAAGACCTGAAAATAATTCAAGGATTCCTCTGGGACAAAATTGTTGAAAAAGGCTGCATTTATTGTTTTCATATTTAGTCTTTTATAACATCTTATATATCACTTGTTTAGGTGGAAAGGTGGCCGCAAACAGCGAGGAGTTGGCGCCAATGCCTCCCAAAATGGCGTCAGTGAGGTTTACTGTAACTCCGACGAAGATGGATGATCTAGGTGGTATATCAGATAGTAGCCCAGATCTCAGCTCCTCTTCTCGAGTCCGATTCAGTTCAAGAGACAGTGTTCGTGATGCTAGTCGAAGTGATGTGTACAGTGATAGCTCTTTAGCCACCACTGCTGTGGATCCAGCTAGTGAGAGGACAACAAACCCAATGGACAGTGGCGAAGGTAAGCCACAATGTGAAACAAAAATTAACCATGTATCAAATAGTACATGTTAAAAATATATATTCAGTAACCACATTGTGTGGAAATAATCTAATACAGTTTTTATACAATTATATTGTACTTATGAAATTGTCTTTGACTTTTGGCCAGATGTTGAGACTTCATGTCTAGTTTGCCAATAAAGATAGATAATGTGCTTAATGAACATTTTAGCCCATAAAGTCTTTCAGGACTTGTTCATACTTATTCATCTGTGATTAGACAGACATCGCTGTTAGCTTCAGTTCATAGAGTTGAGCTGACCATAAATTTATAGATTTTGTTTTGTTCAGCCTGCACATTAAACAGTGCAGATGTACGAATCTCCACTGCTGGCTATTGTATTCTGATAGCTGGCTCCAGTGGCTGTCAGAATACCCAAACAACGCCTGCATCTGATTAAAGACAGATGCGGTTTGGCTAACAAACCTTACCTCCTTCAACCACTCGCCTACAGGGCACTTATACCCCCTTCCTGCCCAGGCCAAATTTCAGCTTTCAGCGCTGTCACACTTTGAATGACAATTGCTGCGGTCATGCAACACTGTACCCATATGAAATTTGTTTCATTTTTTTTAGACAGATAGAGCTTTCTTTTGGTGGTATTTAATCACCTCTGGGGCTAAACAAACCAAAAACCACTGAAAATTTTGAAAAACATTTTTTTCTTAGTTTTTCTTATAAAACTTAGTAAATAAGTGATTTTTTTCCTTCACTGATGTGCGCTAATGAGGCTGCAGTGATGGGCACTGATAGGCTGCACTGATGGACACAGGTGGCACTGATGGGCATTGTCAGGCATCACTGATGGACACTGAAAGGCAGCACTCATATGGCACTGATAGGCGGCACTGAAAAGCAGCTCAGATGGGCACTGATATGTGGCATTGATGGGCACTGGCTGGTGGCAGTGCTGGGGCTACACAGATCTTCAGGGCACACTGATCATCAGTGCACATGTCCCCTCTGAGTAAAGCTGATTACCGGCTCTCCTCTCGAGCTGTCAATGCGACAGCTCGTGAGGAGAGAAAGTCCGATAACCAGCATTTCCCTATTTACATGTGATCAGCTGTGATTGGACACAGCTGATCACATGACCGAGCCGACATCTTCGGCTCTTTCCGTTGATCAGTGATCCGCTGTGTCCGAGGGACACAGCGCACCACAGATCGCCGTCATATGATGTCCTCCCAGAACGAGAGAACCGCCTTGCTTCCGTCAGTACCTTATATGGCGGATGGGAGGTGGTTAATAAAAGTCAGCTGTTCAGTGGAGGCACCCCCAAACTTCATCTGATTCAGCCAATGGTTGTGGCCCAGAGGTTGAGAATCCCCAATTTAGAGGAGCTAGAGTTGACTCAGTGGGAAATGTGATTACAGAGAGTCATTGTACAGCTGGCCATACACACATTTGTTGGCAATTATTTATTGAATATTGGAAAAATATCAAGCAAATATTTTGTTGAGCACCATCACAGTAGATATTGGTCAAAAATGATTATTCAGTTTTGTTAAAGTGGTATTAAAGCCAAAAACATCATTTTAATATATTGCAACTTAACAATCCTTAGATGTGGTGGCTACCTTAGTTTTCCTTTATTTTTACCTGGTGATTTGACCAGTAAGTCTCTTATTTTTCAACATCTTTTAACAGACCAAGCTGTCCAGGAAAATAGTTTTCAGCCAAACATTTTTCCATTGGTAGGGGAGCTCATAATGGTCAGCTTTTATTAGTTTATGCAACACCTTTATCCCAAAAGGAAAAAAATGTTTGCTGTAACTGCTTGAAAAGTGCTAACTAGAGTTCTGTTTTAATTTGTTATTGAAGTCCATCTAAATCTGCTGGTACATTTAACACTACCTTCTCCCCCTATTGACGATGCTGCTGTTCAAAGGTGTCTCAGTTACACTTCCATAGAGTGGAGACTTCCTAAAAAACGAAATATGTTATTGGCCAGGTCACGGGGTAAAAGGAAAAAAGTCTAAATAAGAAAACAAATGCAGACACCACATTTAGGAATTGGTAAGCTGCCCTATAATACATTTTTGGATTTAATACCACTTTACATCCTTCCAAAGATTGGTCCATATGGTCTTATGTTTATAGGACAATTCTAATTGCATATAAATGCATGTAAGGATTCTAAATGGTATAATACACACCATGCATTTAATTGTGTTCAGATTACTTGCCTTTAGAAAAATCGCCTTTGGGGCAGGTTAAATACTTTGAATGCTTCTAAATGAAAGTACATTTAAAAGCAGTAGAAACTGATCTGTAACATGTACAGTTTATTATTTCCAGATCAATTTCTCCACATTTAATTTAAACAAATGCAGGAGACCCATGTGAATGAGGACTAAAAATGTAGGAGCAAGTGGTCAGTGACTGATATGGAAAGGCTGCAATAATGTAGGTAACTGGAAGAGCAGTTTACATGGGCAGGTATGGAAGAGTTACCAGGGAAAAAAGAATTACCATAATGGATGAGTGAAGTACCTCGAGTCAACATAATAGAGCAGAGATTTGCACAGTGGAGAATTAGGGGCCTCAAATTAAACATCAGAATAGCAGAGTACCACTTATAGCTTTGATTTGGCATGGAAACTGTGAGCATGCATTTTTATATCACAAGAACATTGCAGCTATATACAAGGAGCGTTCAAGTCATACCGGGACTTTTGAGTTTATATAATAAAAAAAACAAATTTCAAGGAGTGGAAACTGCATTTATTTTTGGCATAATCCCCTACTACATTTATACATGTATCCCAGCATTTAACTAATGACTGGAAAGCTTCACCATAGAAAGATTTGTCGGTACACCAATGAACCATCCTACGACAGCCTGCTTCATTTCGTCATCACTGTGTTCACCGTTCCCACAGAAAGATTAATCTCTTGTGCAATTTCACGATGGGTTATGCATCGATTATCTGGGATCAGGTCTCCATGCAATAAATGTTCACAGGAATGACTGCTGTGGACTGGGAACCACCATGGCCAGGATCATCATTGATGGACGTATGGCCTTCATTGAAAAGTGTAGACCATTTAAATGTCTTACTGCTGCTGAGCATCTCATCATTGTACTGTGTTTAAAGTCTTCTGTAGATATCAGGTTTTACACCTCGTTCCCAAGAAACTTCATCACACGCTGTTCCATGCACACACTAACACTGTTGTCTGCCATCTTGATTAACAGTCTGTGGACTGGCCCGCGACATGTTTGCTACCTATTAAAAATAGGACACACTTGTCACTTACTGTTGCATGTAGTACTGCCACGGTAGCATCCCTTTTTATACCTGTAAAATTAAAAGTCCCGGTTTGACTTGAACACCCTCGTAGCTAAGTCGGCTCTGCTTTTATATCATTGATGCTGGATAATATTTTTTGCAAGAATGTAAGTAAGCATCAGGGTATGTTCACACTGGGGCTACCCAGCTAAACAAGGACATGCAACCATTCAGGATTATAAACATGCCATGGCAAAAATTAACCCCCCTGTCATATTTGGCAAGTTGTACCACAGCTGAACATGACCTATTTAAATGAATGGGGCCACAACATGATGGTTCATTTTTTTTAGGGTTAAAACAGGCAGTGAGGAGCAGGGGCAGACTGACAACTCATGGGGTCCCCGGGAAATAGGGGATCATGGGGCCCGTGTCCTCGCCCACACTCAAACCACACCCAAAAAAAGCCTATGAAAAGGTACCAGGGGCATCTCGTGGGGCCCCCTACTGACCCCGGGCAGTGCCCAAGTTTCCAAATGGTCAGTCCACCCCTGGTGAAGAGATGTACAGCCTCTCAGCTGTCTGTCAATTGTCCTCTGAAAAGGGCTTGTTCACAGCAGATGTGGTGGGACTGTGCTAGCAGCTATTTCCAGCACAGTCCTAACTCCTAGACAAAGCAAACTGCTTCCTATGGTGTCAGTTCACATCACAGCATTGCTGTAATGTCAACTGACACCATAGGAGGCAGTTTGCAATGCTGTGCACTAGAAAAAAAAAAAAAAAAAAAAAAAAAAAAAAAGGTACTACATGCTGTTCTTTTTTTTCAGTACAGTTTGTTGTGAAGCTAACCACCACATTGCAACATAGAACTCGTGGAATTTCAATAAAGTTCATGATCAGCGCATCAGTACTGTGTATCACAGCGCACAGCAGTGGCCATGCATTCAGCACAGATCACTGGTGTGAAGAGGCCTAACTGTTTAGCAGTAATCAGACTGAGATTTATTTAGGAATATTGCATCCCTACAAAGTTCTTTATATATTTCAATGACTATGGTAACATGCTTTCCACAAGCTTTGGTTAGATATTGAGCAACAGGCCACTTTATATCTTGTGATCCTACTCCTGACACCGCTTCTGCAGCATTCTGGAAGATCAATCATATTTTCATTTCATGTTCACTAAGCCTGTCTCTGACTCAAATAACAGAGACCGTTATTTGCACATTGACTGCAATACAGCAACAGTCTTTGGTTTCTGTATTAGCAAAGCAAACAGCATTCCTTTCATATCTATAACTGATGTTCTCCATGTGGTTTCCCTGTGCTTTTTATTATGACATTATACCACACAAGGAGGAGAATTAAACTTCATTTGCAGGAGAGTGATCACATGCAATATATTCTTTTATACAGAGCATAAAGCTCAGTCAAACTGTGCCAGTTGAGCTGCGTTGATCTACAAAGATCAGTGCAGGCTCAAATCAAGGGTCAAGGGCATAAAGAAAACAAATGTGCCTGTTCCCAGCATAACTCTGGGGTGAGCTGGGTTGTGGTGCAGTACGTAAAAATGCACCACACTACTTGTCATGGCAGGACAGTGCCTTGCAGTGCATTGCATGCATAGACTTAACTTAAATGCCATTTTGTGACACTTCAAAAAAGTTGAAAAAGAGAAAAAATAAACAGTGCTATGTGTAATTTGCTTTAATAGTGCATCAC